AAATCATATCATATCTTGAATGAGGTCATCATTTGATAGCCATAAAAACCCTCATTCTTGTTACCGAAACCCTAGTTTTCAAAAAATATAGATTTTACCTTAATATTCATTGTTTTTGATTTAAAAACTCTAGTGCTTTGTTCGAAAAATAAAATTATATTTCTTAATGATCTCTTGTATATTTTCTTGAGTTGTGTTGGAAAAATACCTATGGAATTATGATTCTTGGTTTACCTATGATTTAGTGAATTGGTTGGTATTTTATCTCGTGTGGATGTTTTGATGAACATGGGTGACCGTTGACTGAATATCGTAGAGTGGATTGATGCATTTATTACTTCGAGTGAGTTTGAAAGTTCCTACCATGAGGTTGAGGGCTAGTATACTATTCCTGGGTTGGTTTCGTCACTGCCGATGTGTCGGTATACGCCCTTCTTAAAGTTTTGAATCCTTGCAAGGTTTGAGTGTGTGCGTATGTGTGTGTGTGTGAGCCATGATATTCTCAATTTGTGTATTCATGCGAAATCTTACTATATACCAAAGATACAGTGTTGATAATAATTTGTTGTCTGAAAGTTGGTTTTACTTCTTCGTTTAATTTATTACGACTACGTATAATTTGAGATCTGATGAAATGTCACTGTTTTATTTCAAAGTTATATATATGATATTTTGGTAAAATAAGACTGACTTATTTTATATATTTTTAAAACCTTGTTTGACTTGGGGATGATTTTCCTACAAAGCTTAGTCTTCATCTCCTAAAAATATCTTTTTCAGATTATGGTTTAGAGGAAGAGTTTAGATTTGATGAGCAAGTATATTATGAAGCTCAAATTGATGGGAACGTGGATCCTGAGATGGATGTTTAGAGTTGTTTCTTTTATGTTCTAGACTGAGAGGTTAATTATGAGACAATGTTAAGGATAATGTTTTATTTATTCCGCTGCAAGATAATATTTAGTTTTTGGATGTAATTGTCATGCTTTGGTATATTTATTTTGAATGATGCCTTAGTTATTATGGATGATAAATGGAATTTCGTTTATTTATGGATTTTGTTAGTTGCTCTCATAACATCAATGGTTATAGATAGTAATGCCTTCCAAGGTGGATTTTGAGGCATTACAAGTAGGCCAAGAGACCACCTTCTCTTTCGCTTCCCGTCGCCTTCTCAGCCATAAGTCTATCAATTGAAGGCGACCATCTATAGAAGGTATGTTATAATCAGTTAATTTCTCTCCTTTTATCTCAGTTTAGATCAGTTTTTTTTTTTTTAACTCATGTTGAGATCTATAGCATAATTTTTTTTTAGTAGATTTTTTTTTTTTTTAATTTTTGATTGTAGAAAAAAAAATTTGAACTATGATGAGATCTCTCGATTTAGATCTATAGCAATATTTTTTTTTAGATCTATAGCAGAATTTTTTTTTTTAAAAGATCTATAGCCGTTTTTTTTATTTGTGATAGCAGAAATTTTTTTTTTTTTACCTCTGTTGAGAATCTTGAGATCTCTTAGTTTAGATTTATAGCATAATTTTTTTTTTAAGATCCATAGCAGATTTTTTTTTAAAGATCTATAGCAGTTTTTTTTAGATCTATAACAGGTTTTTTTTATTATTGATAGCAGAATTTTTTTTTAATTCTGTTGAGATCTCTTAGTTTAGATCTATAGTAGAAATGTTTTTTTTTGTAGCAGAATTTTTTTTAGATCTGTAGCAGATTTTTTTTATTGTTGATAGCAAATTTCTTTTTTAACCTCAGTTGAGATCTCTTAGTTTAGATCTATAGTAGAATTTTTTTTTCACATACTTGTTCATTAATTTTTCTGGTTCATTAATTTATATTCACTTATTTATAGATAAATCCCAACAACCAAGCAAGCACAACTGAATTACCAACAGAATGGAGTATTCCAAATGTTGGTGATACATCTAGTATTGTATCTCAAAGGAAGGGCAAAGGTAACAAAGACTGGAAGTGCAAATGCACACGCACACTCACTTCACCAGTATGGCATCATTTTGAACTTTTGGAAGCTGAAGATGGAAATGCAGATGGAGATGGAGATGCAGATGGAGATGATGCAGATGATGAGGTAAAAGCAAAGTAAAGGTAATCCTCCAGTCTAAACGTAAGAAGTGTGTAAAAGAATACAACGCAGATAGTAAGTGTGGAATAGGTAATATGAAACGTCATTTAAAAAAAATGTTTGAAGACCACCACACGTGATATAGGTCAATTACTTTTGTGCCAAAATGACAAGTTTGTCACTGCATGTAAGCAATTTAGTGAAGAAAAATTTCGAGAATTGTTAATTTGTGTTGTAGTTAAGTATGACTTGCCATTTCAATTTGTTGAGTATGAGACTGTTAAAATATTTTCACATACTTGTGTCCTCAAGATCAAATGCATTACAAGGAATATTGCCAAGGCAGATATCCTTAAGTTGCATGCAAAAGAGATGAATAAGGTCATTGTAATGCTACATGAGTTACCTGGTAGGAATTGTTTAACTTTTGATTTATGGACATCTATTGCTACTAATGGTTATTTGAGCCTCACAGCCCATTTCATTGATAAAGATTGGGTCTTACATAAGAGAATTCTAAATTTCTCTTTTATGCCTCCCCATATAGTGGCATTGCATTGGCTGATAAGATCAATAGTTTGGTAAGTAAATGGGGTATAGAGAAGAAGTTGTTTTCAATTTCTTTGGATAATGCTTCTGCAAATGATGTCTTGGTAAATATGCTCAAGGGTCAACTTAATTTGAGAAATGCACTATTGAGTGATGGTTCTTATTTTCATGCACGTTGTTGTGCTTATATTCTCAATTTAATTGTCCAAGAGTGTTTGAGAGAAGTAGATGTTGCTGTGGAGAAGATTAGAGAATGTGTGAAGTATGTAAGAGGATCTCAATTAAGAAAACAAAAATTTTTAGAGTGTGTTTCACAAACATCTCTAGATAACAAGAAAGGTTTGAGGCAAGACGTTCCAACTAAATGGAATTCTACATATCTTATGCTTACAAGTGCCATCTACTACAGTCGTGCATTTAGTCATTTGCAACTTGTTGATTCGAATTTTAAGTATTTTCCATCCCAAGAGGAATGGGGTAAAGTTTTTGGAAGTTTTTTACAATGCTACTTGTGTATTTTCCGGCACTAAGTACCCAATAGAAAATCTATACTTTGAGCAGGTTTTCATTGTTCATTTAATCTGAAGTAAGGAGACCCAAAGTTTGGATGGTTTTATAAGGAAAATGACTTATCAAATGCTTGAAAATTTGAGAAGTATTGGTTCGATTATAGTGTAATCTTGGCTATTGCAGTGGTATTTGATCCTCATTATAAATTTCAATTTGTGGAGTGGTGTTATGTTGAGCTTTACCGTGAAGGGTCAATAGAATGTATGAATGTTCGTGAGAAGCTATTTGCTTTATTTGATGAATACAGGGGAAATGCTTCTAAGGGTTCTTCTTCTCAAACAATATCTTCTTGTCCTCGTAGTGATGTTAGTCGATAGCTAAATCCTACTCAAATGCGTACTGAATTTTTGAAGGTACTTTTGTTTTAGTTAAATTCAACCAAATTTGATGTTATTGTATGAGTATATTGTGATGTGCTATTCTTTCTCCTAATTTAGGGATTTAACTTATACAAGAACATTAGAGTTGTTTCTAATGCAAATAAAAGTCAATTGGAATTATACTTGGATGAGCCTTTGGTTGATATGGTAGAAAATATTGAGGTACTTTCTTATTTGAATGCTCACCAATTTCGGTATCCAAAACTTGCTATTATGACTCGTGATTTGTTGACCATTCCGGTTTCTACTGTTGCTTTGGAGTCGGCATTTAGCACTGGTGGTCGTGTTCTCAACCAATATAGTAGTACTTTAAAACCTCAAGTTGTAGAGGTTTTAATATGCCCTAAGGATTGGTTGTTTGAAGAAAGAGGTAAATATATAAATTGCGTTATTAATTTGATTGAAAAGAACATTCTTATATCTATATTTATTTTGTTTCGCCATTTAAGAGGTGCTAAATTGGAATTGGAATTGGAATTGGAATTGGATGAGCTGACTGAAGATGTTATGAATGTCAACATAAATGGGTGCAACACTGTGGAAAGTTCGAATGTGGTGGTTAATGAAGCATGATGAGACTTTTAAGTTTGTTGCAATGAGCCTCAATATTGTTTTTACTTTTTGGTTCATCAATCATCATTGACTCTAACTCTAACTCTAACTTCCAATTTTCTAGGAGATGAAGCGGTATGAATTGTGAGACTCTTTGTATTGTGGTTTTGAAGGATTATCTACTGGTGGCTGCTGAAGAATAGCCGCTTCATTTTTAGGGACTATGATCTTGATGTGTGTCTAAGACTTTTCTTTATTATCCAATATGTACTATTTTAATTAGGATATGTTGTTTTTGAGATGTTAGTAACATTTGGTTAGAACTTAAAATATATTAATTGGTTGTGTTATATTATTATAGATTTTCTTTACAGATATGGATGAATTACTCTTGATTAAATTTATTATTTATTGATGTTGAATAGGTTTTTTTTTTTGGATTATGACTGTTCAATGTATTTAAACCTGGTTGAAAATGGTTAACTGTGTAATAGGTCGGGTTGGTTAACAGGTCGGGTTGGGTTGGTTAACCAATCGAACGGGTTGAGTGATACGGACACGACTTGAACACATAAACGTGTTGTAGACAGGTTGTGTTCGGATTCACGGGTTATAAGCGAGGCAGGTTCATGTTGAATTTTTTGACACGATTATTTTAACAGGTCGTGTTCAGGTTGAGGGTTCTTTGACACGAACCTGAAATGACACGGCACGACACGACTTGATTGTCACCCCTAATAAACCAGTGAATTTAGATCGCTGAGAGGTTAAGTCTAAAGACCAACCAAGGCCTAGCTCTAATAACATATTAAAAGACATTCAACCCAAAACCAACTAGCAACAGGTTGAGAGAATCCTCAAACATATAAACCATCTTGGGTGGCTTTAATATTTCGATGTGAGATATAAGCTCTCTTTGATGACACTACAAAGCATTTTGGTAAAGCTCTCTTTGATGACACTACAGACCATTTTGGTCTAGATAAAAAATCACTTACACATGCACATGCTAATGGCTTTGTGAATTTAAGCATGACTGGACAATACATAGGCCATTTGGATGAAAGATAGAAATAAAACATACCATGAAGAGCCAAATCCAACATCTTTTGGACTGTATTAGCTGAAGAATCTTCCACGAGCGAGAGTAAATGCCTTCCAATTGCTTTATCAACAGGCAGACCAGTTAATTCAGCAATTTTTGTATTCCATCCATTAACCAGCCCATCCACATCAACTGCCAAGATCGGCGCTGTGGCTGTTTCAATCAGTCTGACCATCTCGGTTGTCACTGCTTCTAGTTCTTGCACCCCTTCAATCTTGAGGTCATTGAGACGCGTATGGATTGTAGTCGTGTTTAAATCCATGACTTCGGTATCCTTGAAAGCGTTCCTCAGGATAAGCTGCAGAGAATGGATTGCATCCATCTCATAGTCCTTCCAAGGTAAACTCCTAGTCTTAACGACTTCCAGAAAAGCTTTAAATGACGACCTCGGGTGCATCTTCTTACCATCATCTTTCTCACCCTGTTCATGCTTTGCACCACCCCATCGGATTTCGGCAGCCGTGTGAGACCTGAACCAGAAAAGCATATCCTTGGAAGTTATCCTCACAGCTGCCATTCCACACACTACATCACCAAGGGCAAGAGCTCCAGGGAACCCTGCATCATACAAGCTATCTGTACTCAAACCAGTGGAATCCATATGGTACTCAGAGAGCCAAGAAACTATATCTTGCAGCTGAAAGTCACTAGGAGTTACTCCCATTCTATGTATTTTGTTCTTGTATAACAGGGCAGCCCCATCACATTTCACAAGATCCAGGATATTGGGGCTCTGCGACACAATACCTAAGGGTGCATCTCGCATTAGCATATCACACAATAGCGTCTGTGTACGTAGGATATTCTTCTCAAGGATCTGATTTTCCAATTCTAACTCCTTGTGGACATGGATGGCAAACACTTGAGCAAGAAATTCACAAGCATAACGAAGAGGGAAGGGAACAAACCTTGGAGTAGTGTTGTGGCACACCACTAAACCCCAAAGCCTCTTCCTCTTTTGTGGCTGTGCAGAGTCAGAGCTGTCTCCTTCTTCATCATTATCATTGACTACAATTGCCATAACCAGAGAAGCAATAGAATTCATATTTTCCATATACTGTAAATGACAACCGTGTGGAGCCCTGAGAGTCGAACCACACAAGGTTAGATCAAGTGGAAGATTCTCATCTTGAATCACTTTCACATGTTTTGCTCGGCAATCACAGATCATTCGGACCTTATTCTTCATGAATAAGAAACGTGCAGCCTGAGGAATATCTGTGGCTGGATAATGCAAACCCACATAAGGCTCATGGCCAGACTTTGTGATCTCATAGGCAACCTCTCCATGATCGTCATCATGAAATTTATAGACCATAACCCTGTCATAACCAGTGAGTTCAAAAACCTCTTGAACTATCGTATCACAAAGTCTATCCATGCTGCCACTTGGCAAAGACTGCAACCGGGTAATAGCTTTGGCCGCAAGCTTGTACGACTGCAATGCCCCTGCAGCAGTCATGGATACTTCATAAGGCTTAACAGGCTCAAAATCTATGATAAAGCTGCCTGTTACCCTGTGGACAATTGCATAAAAGGGCTTCCCAGAGGTTTTGCAATGAACTAAGATGGGATTCAACAGAGAAACCTCCCCAAATCCTAAGGCCTTTTGCAATGCAGCTGCGCTAGGGCCAGTAAAGATTGTCTTCACATCAGTTCCAATGCCAAGAACAGGATGGTCCCCAACACTTGGAACAGCATGACTAACCATTGTCAGCATCTCAGGGGCATTCTCACTGTAGGCAATGACTTTGAAAGTTTTCTCATCTAAGGCTAACAGACACCCGAATGGTTGGATCAGCTTGCCTTTTTGTATCTGATGGAGGTAAGCTGTGGTTACTTTGCCAGACCTAGGTTTTTGATCTCCACCAGCCACACCGGTGACACGCACTGAACTTGAGTAGTCAAAGGAACTACCCGACTCCTCAAAATCTGCATGGAGCTTTGCATCTATAGGGGTTTGTGCGATAATCCTAGCACTGTGTTTTGATCTCCCTGAAGTGCTGGACGAATGATTAGGTCTTGAAGACGACATTTTCACCCAGATCTGAACCAACAGAAAAGAAAAATTGAAGACAATATTAGACCAAATTTCATACAGAATAGCAATAGCAGTAATAATAGTTAGTTCTGTCACAATCTTCATCTCAGGACATAGTTATGGAATGTCAACAAGAATGACAAAGATAATAGATGGTTCGGTCATGATCATGAACATTTTTTGGAACGTCAAATGTCAATGCAAATATGCCTTGTACACTGCTAGAAACAAGAAAATTTACAAGACGGCTCAATCATGATCAGAGACATAACTAATACAGAATCCATAGTCCATCAAATACAAGAGCAATCTTCTCTGGCCCAAACCCATATCGTGTAATCTAAACACATTTCCAACAGATACATCAAGATAGGAATATAGTGATTAATCACTCTCAAATAATAAACTTCTCTTTTGCAACAAGAACCATAAAATGAAGACCTTCCAAAACTGATTCAAACACAATAAATTCGTAGTAGAACTTACAACAAGGCACGAATATAGTGGCTAAGAACTGTCAACTAACGAAGTTCTATTTTGCAACAACAATAAATAAAGCCATTCAAAAACCATAAAATGAAGCCCTTCCAAAACTTTTTCAAACACAATATCCTCATTATCAAACTTGAACTGGTAAATATATTTTTAACTATCAAAAAATACGAACAGTCCCTCAGTAGTGCTCCAAACCCTTTGATCAACAAAATAATATTAGCTAATACTACTCCCGACACAAGTGCTTATGCATTCCAAACCGAACTCGTACTAACAGTAAAAATGAAAAGAATAACAAAACAAGCATAATTAATAGAACAAAACATAACCTACAAGATTGATGATCTAGTCCTATAAGTGGGCAATTTCTTTCAGTAAGAAGAGGCGAGAAATTGAAAGACTGACCTTTTCTTAGCTAGCAGAGGCGAAAAAACAGTAGCTATCGGATCAGAACTTGCAATATTGATAGTGAAACAGCTTGAAGAGCTTTAAAATGGAAAACCCAAATCAGCCCACTAAAATCCAACTCAATTCTAAAAAGGCTCAACCCCATTCCCCCCCAGAAGCCTCGATCACTGCCTCTTCTGATCCATCCAATGGCAAAAAAAAAAAAAAGGACCACACCCTGCAAACACTGCTCAGTAGCGTACCCCTCTAAACTTTCATATCCATTTTCCAAGACGCATACACAATATTGTATACAGTATTGTGCTACATGCGTAGAAAGAGAGGATGAGAGAGAAAGCAAAAAACAATGAGCTTGGTGGTTTGGTTTCCAGACATAGTTTATAGTGGCAGTTGAGTCGATCAAAAAATAGTATAAAATGGGATTTTCATTTGCTAACTCTGGAAGTGCTACTATCACTTTATGAATATATTATATAATATGCATATAATCTTAATAAGTAGGCTGGAATAAACAAATGCAAATTCCATGAGATTTTGGAACACTATCTGAGATGATGAGAGAAGACCCATTTGGGGTGAGCTGGTTTCTGTGCTGGAAAGAGGGGTGGTTGTGAGAGAGCCCAAACTTTGAATACCAAGTTGACAACAGAACCAAAGAGTTATGGAGTTCACGTGAAGACCTCGTCCTGGGGTGTGCGAGGACTCAGTGAATTGCAGATGACTAAATCTATACACTTGGTGGGTCAGATTCCCGATTCGCCGGCATCCGACCGACAACGCCAGATTGCCCATCACACTTTGCTTTTTTGGTTTAAAATTAAAATTGACTTGCCCTTTAGAGGCGTGAACTTGGCAGCGACCGCAAAATCTAAAACGGTCAAAAAGATTGAAGGATTTGGGGGATTCGGATCCCTGTTTCCGTTCCTTTCAATTCTCTTTAATACACATGATACGTATAATTTACGTAAAATTTTAAATTTTAATTAAATTTTAATTAATGAAATTTTTTCCCTGATTAACACTCTACCAACATTAAAATAAATAAAAAATATTTTATCTATTGAAATTTAAAATCTTACATATGTCACTCATTTAGTACTATATTAAAGGAAATTGAAGACAAGGGATAATGAAGGGGATCTAAATCCAAATTTGGGGACCTCCAAATTTAAATTTGTTCCTTATGATTCCCTAAATTATTATCATCATGAGCATAATTGCAAAGAGTTAGGATAAGAAAACAAAATATGAATTGAAAAAATCACAATACATAAGTCAATTGTGCGTGATTAAGAAATCACAATACATTTTTTTACCAAATTAATTACTTAAGTATCGCAGGGTCGACCCCTAGAGCTCCCCCCTCTGGTCTCTAACTTCTATTCAGGGTTTTGCTAGGCTCTGGAGAGTTGAACTAGATCTTCAAAAGACTAAAGTGGACCCATGGAGAGCTAATTTGGAGGTCAATAGAGTTTAATTAAGCTGAAATGGAAGTTGATGCATATTTACAGCAACAAATTGCGTCGTCTATTGGAAGCTACTAGAAATTCCCTACTTTCTCATAATTTCCTCAAAATGAAAATCTTGAATGGTGACTAATAGATCAGTAGAGGTCACCAGAGAATAACGTTCCCAGGAGTTACCCAAAGAGGATAATCACGACAAATATCCCCTTCGAGCCAACAAACAACAAGAGACTTAGGGAATGCTTAACTTGGAGAGGAGTTATGACAGAATAAATTAAATCATGGAAGGGTTGGCCCAACACTTCGGAAAATAACTTATTGGACCAAAAGTTCAAATAGATGAATGATTGAATCGGAGAAGTACTTAAAACAATAAAAGTCATGGATCTAGAAACTTTGGAGACCTTGGTTTGACGCTTGGAATCCCTTTTTTCGCATGATGTTACAAATTATCCTTTGTCCCCAAAGTTGAAGTTGCCAATAATGGACAACTTTGATGGAAATAGGGATCATTTGGAACACCTTGAGACATATAAGTCCCTTATCCTACTTCATAAATGTTCCAAACCAAATCATCTGTTGAGCTTTCCCTATAACTCTTAAAGGAGCAGCTCGGCTATGATTCAATAGACTTTCCCCAGGGTCCATTAGGTCCTTCATAGAACTAAACAATTCATTCATCTTCCATTTTATAAGAAGGCATACTCACAAGAAGCTAGCAACTTACCTATTGAACCACATAAGGGACGAGAAAATCACTACAAGAATATGTAGCATGCTTTACTCAAGAGTTATTGCAAATTGAAAGCATAGATGATAAGGCAGCTCCGACTTGATATATGAAAGAACTCCTCTCTCGAGCTCAAAGCTATATGAATGCAGAGGATTCCCTTCATGCTAGAAAAGGGGGGAGAAGATCACTCCATGGAGAGGAAGAGAAAGGATTAGGAGAATCCATACAAGGTTGATACCTTAAAAAATAGGATGAACTGAGTGGGTGTCAACAAGTGAGTGACTAGGAGCTCGCTTTCTAACAGGAAAGTTCTCGGTCTATACCCCCATTGAACACAGTGGTCGAGTAAGTCCATTTCCAAGTACAAAAATGATAATGTCCTTAAATGGCCCTAGACATTAAGGACACCCCCTTATAAAAGAGCAAGGGACAAATATTGCCAATTTCATTGAGACCATAAGGCACAATATGGAAGACTACGTGCGAAGAGCTCAAATAGACTTTGACCCAGAAGAAATCAGCCTGGTATAACCTGGAAAGATGCCCAAAATCTTTTAACAATCACTTTTTCGAATGAAGACCTCAAAGGAATCTGTTTCCCACTTGATGACCCTTAGTCAAATCACACCATTAGAAGAGTATGGTTAGATGACAGGAGCTTAGCAAATATAATCTTTGCTAGAGCCTTCGACCAATTGGACGTGGGAAGTTGTAACTTGAGGCTTATTAGAGCTCTACTTATTGTTTTCTCAAGGGAGAAAACTTATTAATTTGGTACAGTCTCCATCCTTGCAATAATAGGGCAACTCATACACATATCACCCATATAGTGGACTTCTTGGTGATGGATTGCCCTTGGGCATACAATATTATCCTCGGTCGATCAGTTCTCAACACCTTGAAGGTAATACCTTCCACATACCACCTTCATCTTCGATTCCCTACCAACAATGGGATCAGAGAGGTTAGGGGAGACCATGTCATGGTTAGTGAATGTTATGTGGCCTCAACCAAGAGCAGCCCATTAGCCAACACATAATAGGTGGAGAATATTGACCCAAGAAAGTTTGAAGAGTAAAGAAGCTTGTACAATGGATTAGCTAATCCTAATATGCTTGGGGGGAAACCCTAGATCGGGTGACCTTTAATTGATTCGTGCGAGCTCCCCTAGCACGTCAAAAGCAAATTGGAAGAATTCCTGCACAATAACATAGACATGTTTGCTTGTAGTCATGAAGACACGCCTGGAATTGATCTAGAGATGATAGTTCATAGGCTCAATGTAGATCCCTCCTTCAAACCAGTAAGATAGAAAAGGAAGGTGTTTGCCCTAGACAAATCTAGGGCTTTTATTATAAGAAGTGGACAAGCTCTTGCACGCTACGTCCATCAGAGGGGTATAATACCCAGAATGATTGGCTTACGTGGTCCTGGTCAAAAAAATAATGAAAGTAGAGGTTGTGTTTAGATTTTATAGATATCAACAAGGTTTGCCCAAAAGATTGCTCTATTGACCTCCTGATAGATGCTACAATAGGTTTTCAGTTGTTAAGATTTATGAATAATTTTTCTAGCTATAATTGCATCTGCATGCACCTAGACAATCAAGAAAAGATATCATTTGTCATAGAGCAAGGGATGTGCTGCTACCAAATACCAAGCAGTGCCTTCGGACTAAACAATGTTAGGACTATATATTAACATCTAGTTAATCAAATTTTCAAGAGCTTGATTGGAAAAACCATAGAGGTTTACATTGATGACATGTTGACAAAAATCTAGCTCACTTAAGAACATGTGACCCACTTAGATGAGGCCTTCAAGACATTAAGGAAATACCATATTAAGCTGAATCCAACCAAATGCACATTTAGAGTTTCCTTTGTCAAATTCTTGGGCTTCCT